GGACCCCCACCCCCACCCCACACCCACACCCCCGTGCGCACGTCCAGCGGGCGAGGTACCCAGGCCCCAGGGAGAGGGGCGCCGCTCAGGGCCCGCTCCTTCCTCTGTCGGGACAATCTAGCCCCCTGGGCCCCCCTGGGGCCAGAAACTGTCACCTTCCCGGTAAGGCGGTCAAAGGATAAGTCCCCTTTTGATAGGCATCTCCTGCCTGGCTCAGCGCCACCACCACTACCCGCTCCCCAGGCCAGCAGTTTGTAAGGAAACACCGAAGGAAAATCCGTTGACCGGTTAAACTTTAAACGCCATTAGCCAGGAACACTTTAATCACGCGACCCAAAGGCGTCCCTGTTGGCTGTGGCGTGATCAGAGCAGGACCCAAGGGTCTGCAGGTCCAGCTCCTCCGGGACAGTACAGACGCCGGGTCCAGAGCCCCCAGACGCCTCAGCTAACACCTGAGTGACTGTCCACCAGTTCCTGGACTTCTCTGAGCACCTGTGCTTCTCGGCCGTCCTGGCGATCTTACAGGGACAGGTGAGGACAGCATCAGCAACGAGGTGCCCTGGGAGAAGGTGGGGACCTGACTGAACATCACCCTTCACGGTTGCCTCGAACAGAAATCCTGCTCTGGGGTGGTTTTCGGGTGTCCCCGCGGGTCCCAGGAGGTAAATTGGCTATATTCAGTCCTAACGCTATGATGCAGATTCCTAAAGCAAACCACTTACTGCCAGCGAGCCGATGCTGACTCATTGAAACCCTATAGGACAGGGTTGAACTGCACCTGTGGGTTTCCGAGGCTGTAAGGTTTCATGGAAGTAGAAACCCCCGTCTTTCACCCAAGAGACGCTGATGGCTCCGAACTGCTCCCCTTGTGATTAGGTGTCTGCCTGGTACCCCAGCACTGGACACCCTACCGGGCAGTTCTACTCTGTCCTGCGGGGTCACTTGAAGTCGGAATGGATGGAAGGGGAGCAGGTTCCTTTGGATTTTATGGCTCCTTCCCTGGATAGTTTCCACAGGCGATTTTGTTCAATCATCACTAGATGGGGGTGGGTTATCCATCCTCCCTTTGTGGAGACTGCTATCGGGTGTCATCGAACCGCTTCTGACTCATGGGGACACTAAGTCCAGAAAGAAGCACCACCCAGGTCAAGGCCATCCTCACATTCCATCCCCTTGAGGGTCTCCCTCTGTTTCACTACCCCCTCTCTTTCCCCAGGGACGGGTCTCTGCTCCTATCACATCCCAGCACGTGAGGTGAAGTCTGGCCATCTCCCTGCACAGAATGAAACTTGTCAGTCACCCAGCGCACGCAGCACATTCGAGAGACAGAGAAGAAAGCCTTGGGCAGGCAGAACCCGGAGACGGGATGCAGTGCTAAACAAGGCAGCCTGTCTGTGCTTAGGAACTGACCGAGAACCTGAGCAAGAGGTGGGGAGGGGAGGGGGGGGCAGGACAAACTTTGGGGTGTTCTATCCAGACGATTAGAAGACAGTGTATCTTCTGCGACTCCTTTTCTGTGACCCATCTGAGATGTGCCTCTTGTGCTGTGACCTTTACAGGAGCGCCTATACATATGCTTGCAAATACTTTGTAAAACGCTGCAGAAACCCCAGGAAGGAGGCAAGACGGAGAACTAAAACTGCTCACATTAATCCATCGGAAAGTGGCCGGGCAGGATGGTTCCGAGGTGCAGTAGGAGATGAAGGGGTCCACACACTGAGTCAACTAACTGAGATGGGCAACTATGGGGTTTGTCCCAGAGGCAGATCAGATTCCGATGGGATCCGCAGCCAATGAAGGACACACTTACACAGCTGGAAGGGGAAGCCTATCCCACCTCTGGGCTTCCCCCTGTTGGCCAGGGCTGCCTCTGAGCTCTGGAGAAAGGCCTCCTCCCAGCCCTCCCCACATCCTGCAGAGGGTGGGGGCAGAAAGGGGGAACCGATCAAAATGACCCCAGATGCTTTATCTTGTAATAACCAGGCACCATCAGCTTTAGCTTATGTATCCATTTTGTCTTCAGAGATTGTGTCGGGAGTGTGAGCATCACAGAATACCAGATTACACCAAAGTGTCCATGAGCTGAGGGAGGACTTGAGTAGAGGCCCAATATCCATCTGCTACCTTAATACTTAACCTCTAAATATATGTACATAGACCTATATCCCTATCATTATATATTAATATATTTACATACATGCGTGCCTACGTTTACACCTCTATAAGTGTATTTTGCCTCCTACTTCTTTCCTCTATTTCAAGGAAATGATCTCATTTGCACCCTAATTGAAGATGACCAAGAGTAACACCATAGAAATCTCAACTTGTTCAGCTTCTGACTGAAAAACTAAAGTTGCTTGATGTCAAAACAGTTGCACCCAAATCAGCTGCGGACTAGAGCCAAGTTCTCAGGGGAAATTTAAAACAAGTGGAATGAAGATCCTGAGGCATTTCTTGGAAGAATTCTATGAGGAGATGTAACATGGCTTTGCTGAGATGCTGCTGAAGAAAAAGCAAAGTCAGAGCAATAGCTACCAACAGGTAGAAGTGGGCCAGTCAAGGCAAAAGTGCAAAGGTCAAGATCAAAGGGCATGGTGATCATTTTACTTTTGGATGCTCAAGGCATTTTTCCTTGTTCACATTCTGGAGGGTGAACAGAAAAGGACAGCTGCTTATTTTATGAGTGTAATGAGAAAACTAGCCAAAGCTTCCACAGCAACACACCCAGGGAAGTCTCACCAGAGAATCCTCCTGAACCACAATACTCCTGATTGGCCCTCTCACCCAACATGGGCAACTTTGTGTTTGCATAGGAAATCTATTGGCATCCACCTGACAGTCCTGATTTAACTCCTTCTGGCTTCTGTTTCCTAATATTTAGAAAGAATTCCTTCAAGTTAACCCATTTTTTTCTTCACGTAATAATGTAAAAAAGATGCACTGGTCCTGTTTTCTTGGGATGCACTAAATAATATCATAGCTTACAAAAATACCATGACTTTGGTGGAGCTTATGTTGTGAATAAAAATTTTTTATATTTTTATCTTTTAAATTGTTTTTCCATGAACTTTCTAAAGACTCTTCATATAATTCAGCCATAAAAAGGAATGAAGTATGATACATTCTATAAAACAGATGAACCTTGCAAACATTCAAGGTTTGCAAAAGACATTTTAGATGACCAGTTGCAAAAGACATTTTAGATGACCCCATTTACATCAAAAATGGCAACAGGCAAATGCAGGGACTGTGAATTATTTAATGTGACTCTTCTAGGCAAAGTATCTAACTCCCACTGGTAAGAAAATGAGGGAAGATACTGATAGGATTCACCTGTGAATAACTGATAACAGGATTCCATGGGTGGCATCCTGCTGGGCATAAAATGAGCCCTTTGAGAAGCAGGAGGATCTCATTACCAGGAAGTCAGGAGTGGAGCACACCCTCTGGACCAGAGATACTTGTGCAGTGAACCTCATGGATCCAGATGACAGCTACACCATCAGAGAAACAGCAGCAGGACCAGGGATCAGTGTCCAACAATGGTGGACTTCCCAATGTACAGAGCAAGTTTGGATTAGTGTTTTTGGGCAGGAGGCTGACCTGCAGAGTAGGGTGCCTCTGGGTACTGAGTTGAAGTTGGACTTGCTGACCTTAAGGCTGAGGCTTATTGGAGTGGGGTGCCTCTGGGCACTCAATGCAGGGAGCTGGGCTTGTTGACCAGGGGAGCTTGAGACAAAGGCCTTCGGGTTAAGGTTTACAGCACATTGGTATGCTCCTTGGGGAACTCAATAGCAGATCTGAAACTTTCTAACAAGTCCTGGTAAACAACGTATTAAATTTCTTAATAAACCCTTTAATCATGAATTTTGTCTGTGAGTTTCTGTGTAGCCATTGCAAAGGCTATCTGAAACTAGAATAGCAAGATAGTAGACATTAAGACGGTATGGCAAATCTATAGAAACAGACAACAGTTAAGTGAGTCCCTAAAAGCAGAGTGAAGAGTCAAAGGGGAATGGATACGTATTTCTCTTTCGGGTGTCAAAAATGTCCTACAAGTATTGTGTGATCCAAGAATTCCAAATGACAAAATTCAAGATCAGAGGAGGGAAATGTAGTAGAACTTTAAAAACTTTGAGCACCAAATCTGCAGAAGGCTATGACTGACCGTGAAAGCCCAAAATCCATTTCCAGAGATCCCACAGGGAATAAGCCTCCGTTGAACATACTTAGACCAATGACCATGGATGGCAAAAGCCTTGCCCACAGATAGAGTACATCAGAAAGTGAATTATTAAAGGTATCACTAGATTAAACTTTAATATCTTATCATTTCCCCTCTTTTAACCCATTCTTAATTTATTTTTTCTGCTTTCTTCTGGATTGAAAAAAAATGTAGCCAATGTTACTGAATAAATTGCATAGAAATTATTAAATTAAAAACTTATCTACTGCATAAATATTTGATGAAAACACAAAATTTTATTTTAAAAAAGCATACTGAACAGTATTGCATGTTCTTAAAGACTGTTTACATGATACTGTTCTTTCCCGTCACTATGCTCCCTACTGCCATGAATCCATCCACTCAGCTTGTTTCCTAACAAGTGTGCTAGTGACTGTCTTCAATATAGGAGAATAAAAATGTTCTAAAAGTAGGTTGTGATGCTTGTGCAGGTCTGTAAATATACTAAATTGAATTATAGACATAAATATGTGAATAGCATGGCTTGTAAATTATCTTTCAGTGAAGCCTTTTAAAAAAAGTCACATCAATCTGCTTTGCACAACAAAATGAGTAGGTTTAATGGTGGAAGAACACTGAATCAATGGAAATGCCTGCGTTTACAGAAAGAGGAATTGGAAGGTGGCTCTTACATCAATTCTTCATTTTGAAAATTGCTCTTTAGTTGTAAGACTTAAGCCTTGGTTCTGCCATCTCCGCAGCGGTGATTTTGAGTAATTTTAAATTGTACTGCATATGATAATGTTATTTTGGCTAAATAAGTGAATCTTCTTATCTTCGCAATGTATCCTAAAGGGGAAGAAAATCACAATATTCGTAAGCTACATTAAAATATTTCAACATAAAAATGGTTTTGATATCTGAATGTATTTATTATTACCGGGTTTCCCCAAAAGACATCCCCCGAAAATAAGACCTACTTACAGTTTTGCCTCTAGCTGAAATATAAGACATCCCCCCGAAAACAAGACCTCCCCGATAATATGGCCCCCCAAAGCTACCATAACTGTGGACTCTGGACTGCAGCGGTGGGCATCGCCATGCAGCTCACTGTTGGCCGCAGCGCAGCCGGAGCAGACAGGAAGTGCGAGTAAATGTACCATAGAGTGTTGTACATGGAAATAATGGTAGTAACAAGAAATTCTTCATACTGTAGGATTCACAGTTTGTCCGGTTATGCTGGTTTGTGAGGACAACTACTACCGTACCGTATACAGGCAATAAATTTCCTTTTTTTGTTCAACAATAAACGTGTACCATATTCTTCTTCATGGAAAAATAAGATATCCCCTGAAAATAAGACCTAGCGCATCTTTGGAAGCAAAAATTAATATAAGACACTGTCTTATTTTGGGGGAAACAGGGTATGTAGAACAATTTTTTAACTTTGTTGGGTAGTGAACAAGGTAACACTGCAGTGAGTCTATCAATTTTGTAAAATGGGAAGAAATTGAAAAAAAGTGTTCACACATACCAAGTATTTCGAAAATTGCTTCCATAAATCCCCAATGTGGGAAACACCAGAACGAGGTGTGTGCACTATGATTTATAGAGATGGAATGCATGCGCAGCAAACAGTCAGAAAAAGTGAGTGAGCATGGATCCCAGTGGACAACATGATGCTGAGCACAAGGACACGTCTTTCCCGTTGATGAAATGAAACAAAGGGAAGCGGCTACACTGGAGAGGGTGTCCCTGGTTTAGCTCACCTGCGAGAACTGCTCTTTGGCACCTCCTTCTCAGTGCGCCCCGAGTCTGCCTGAACCTCGGCGCTTTCTCTTTCTCCAGCTGAGAGATCAGAGCTGGTTTGGAAGCAGGTGGCCCTGCTTGAAGGGAAGAAAACAGAAACACAACGATAAACAGAGACAGACATGTCTGTTTCCACCACACATGCAAGTACAGGCAGAGGCAGTGGAGAGTGTAATTTCTGGGTGGACTGAGCATAAATCATTCTAGAAGTCCAGGGATTCTTGGAAGGAGCTAGAGACATCTCAGTGGCATAAAGTGGAGTCCAGCTCATAGTGACCCTGTATAGGGTTTCAGACAGCCCGCACACACTCTGTCCAGTCTATTCTGTCTGCTGGCGGCCTTACAGGGTAAAACTTCCTGAGGGCTTCTGAGACTGTAACTCTTTATGGGCACAGAAAGCCTCTTTTTTTTTTCCTCCCAATGGAGCGGCTGGTGGTTTCAAACTGCTGACCTTGTGGTTTGCAGCTCAACACATAACCCACTAGAGGCCACTGGAGCTCCTGCCTTAGGCACACTCTGAGAGAAAAATGTGTTTTAAAAAGAAACTAGATTTCACACCTTCTTTGTTAGAAGACTGAAAATCTCACTGTGGGGAAAGTGCTATGTGGTTCCTAGAGGCAACTCTCAGAGGAAGACAAAGGGCTGGGTTCTCTCGAGGGTTCCGAGTTAGGTTCAAGGTCTGCTGTATCAAAGAGAGCACACCTCTGAGGCAGAGGGGGAGCAGGGGAAGCTTTCATGATGGAAAAAGAAGAAAACCCTCTAAGTTAAAAAAGGCCCCAGGACTCTCCGTACCTGGAAATCTCGGTGTGCCACGTGAGTTCACCCACAGTTATGAGTGACCCCCCCTTCAAGCTCGGAGGACCCAGGCCGGGGCGGCAGCAGGGAAGCCTTACCCAGGAAGGTCACAGCCTCGTAGTTGTCCAGCATCACGTCCCTGTACAAGGCCTTCTGAGCAGGGCTCAGGCTGACCCACTCGTTCTTGGTGAAGTACACAGCCACATCCTCGAAGGTCACGGGCTCCTGAAACGACAAGGCTCTAGTCTCCCAGGTGCCAGGATTTACGTGATCCTCAAAGCGGTCAATGAAAGCAATGAAAGGCCTGCCAAGACCATCTACTGTGATAATTTTTAGTGCTTGGTCCCTGATGTGCCTGGGGGGAGAGGCTGTGTGTGTACTTTGGAAGATGTAGAGAAGGAAGACGAAGAATACGCAGAAGTCAAAGGCCGTCAGCCAGAACTCAGCACACTTCTCCAGTTAGAACCAATGACGTCTCCCAATGAGCTCCCAAACCTACGTGACTTCCACGGAGACAGTGAACATTGTATAGGAGACAGAGCTTGGACCTGAGGATCAAAGTGCGCAGAGGGAAGGAGAACAGACGCCTGCATCTGGTTGTCACCTCAGCTCTGGCCTCCTCACTTTGTATGTATGTGAGTGATTCTCTGAGCTGCCATTTCCCAAGTCTTCTTTTGTGCCAACTCTTCATCCTTGTCTCCTCAGTGAGACAAGCTCTCAGACCTATCTATCAATGACCCTCCTAGTTCTCCCTCCCTATGCAAAAGTGATGGTTTCAGAAGCACAGGGTAATACTACCTATTTAGGGAAGGTTATATATATATATATATATATATATGCCACATGTTATTTTATAAAGACACACACACATGCATGCATATGCTTGAATGTGTATGTAAATCTACTGATTTACACACCTACACCACTGATTCTCTAGCCTTACGTACCAATTCACTGCAGTGTTTGTACTGGCTCAACTTGGCTCTACTGAAGGCAGAGGAAATCAAGCTCACCTGGGGGCTGCCTGTGGCGGACATAGCTGGCATCGGACCTTTCATGCACTTCTTGGAGCTGAAGGTAAAGAGAGAAACATTAGTGACTACAACACCACGGACAACAGCTCCTACATAATCTCTGATCCAGCCTGTTTTGAAGGCCACACGAACTACTGTTCTTCAGTCACTGCCTCTATCGGTGGCATTTTGACTCACAGAGATTAAATTAAATAAAGCCAAGAGAGAGCACTCTAGGAATGAGTCTGGTACGAGCTACGAAGGGGACCTGAGAAACCTGTAAATTTCAGTAATCTGGAGAGGAGACGGAACATGGAGCTGAAATAAATCCAGAGCACCAAACGGTTTAGGGAGATTTCTTAGAATCCATAAAATACATATACAAAAGTATGTAAGATATCCACCAAATACTGAATGACCTTAGTATCTCTTTTCTTGCAGCTACATTAGATATTTGTGTAGGGCAGGTTTAGGACTTGAATAAAGCCCAGCTGAAACTTGAAAATATTAGGACTATCTTGCTACTTCTAACGAACTATGCAGATTGATGGTACGGCGTTCATTTTCTAAGCATTGAGGAGTGGTGAGAACAAACCACCACGTTAAATAAACCCATGGATTTCAAGTCTTCTCTCTAATACTCAAGTTCCAAATAAAGTATGGGAAAAATTTAATATTTTTCTCACTCAACTAGTTCTAACTACCAAGGGGGTCGGTGAATTGGTTCACCATTAGAAAGTAGGTCTTCTGTCATTCAGTAACCTGAATCAGCAAGATAAGCTTATTAAAGGCGAGACCTGAAGTACAAGCACTTAACCAGCATAAAAGTGGATGCATTTATAGACCTTCAAGACTTTCCATTTCTGAAGTTTGCCCCAGGTCTCAAGGAACTACAAAAGCATCAGAAACAGTGGGGAAGGGAGACAGTGGTTAGTGTAAGATATGGAAATAATAACTTGTAATTTGTCAAGAGGTCACAAGGGTGGGAGGAAGAGCAAGAGGAGGAACAGATACCAAGGGCTCAAATAGAATGTAAATGTTTTGGAAATAATGATGGCAGCATATATATAAATATGCTTGATACCACTGATGTATAGATTGTTATAAGAGCTGTAAGACAAATCCGGCTAGACCAGAGGATACTGGTACAGTTAAGAGCTGAAACACAGGGAATCCATGACAGATAAACCCCTCAGGACCAATAATGAGAGTAGTGATACCAGGAGGGGAAGGGGAAGGTGGGGGAGAAAGGGGGAACCAATCACAATGATCTACATATAACCCCCTCCCTGGGAATGGACAACAGAAAAGTGGGTGAAGGGAGACATCAGACAGTGTAAGACATGACAAAATAATAATTTATAAATTATCAAGGATGAGGAGGGAGGGACGGGCAAAAATGAAGAGCTGATACTAAGGCCTCAAGTAGAAGCAAATGTTTTGAGAATGATGATGGCAACAAATGTACAAATGTGTTTGACACAATGGATGTATGGATGGATTGTGATGAGTTGTACGAGCCCCCAATAAGATGATTTATTTAATTTTTTTTAAAAAAGAGCTGTAAGAACTCCTAGTGGCATCTTCAAAAGAGAAAGAAAAAGTCACCCTTTTCTCCATTGCCCCTTCGTGGTGAGTCCAGGAAGGCAGAGGAAGCTGAGGCTGTCGGGAAAGTGCTACCAAGAGATACTAGAAACCTCATCTTGGTAGTTAGGGGCTTCCGATAGGGAGAAGCCAGTGGTTTTAAGAGCAGAAAGACAAATTTTAAAAGGAAACAGGCTATGAATCTACACCCTGTCCAAGGGTAACAGAAGCGGTACTTCATCCTGAGTGAACAGGTACCTCGTGTAGGAATGCACGTGATTTCTCTTAAAATGGGATGCCTTGGTATCTTTGTGCTAAATGTCTCCCTCCCGCCGTGCCGTGGGCCTTTAAGAAGATAGCCCTATTCACCAAAAAGCCAAACGAGCTGACCGGGAGGGGGTGGGTGATCCCGGCAAAAGGACCGACTCCCTCCTCCGACTCCTCGCCCGCGGGGGGAAAGCAGAGCCCTCAGAGTTGGCGCCTCGCTACGCAGGCGAGGTGATGGGCGGATCGCAGCCCCGCTCGGTGGGTCGAGAGGCAGGCCCTCCACCCGAAGGATCCGGCCAGTGCCGGCAACAACGCGGAGGGGGCGCGAACCACGTCGGGCCTCCTCCTCCTCCTGTCGCCGAGCGCTGAGTCGGGCCTGATGCCGACGCCCCGAGGAGTCGGGACTGGGGGAAGATTTTTTTTTCCCTCCAACGGCTTCCTGCGATCCCACACGTCCGCGTTCTCCAAGGGTGGGTTAAACA